GACCGTTGCCTCTGCTCTGGAGGGGTCAACCTTCTCCTTGGCCTCTGCGGAGAGCCCCACCACCATGTCTAACTCCAAATTCCCCAGACCAAATGACAAAATGGTCTTCCCTTCGCATGCCTCAGGGGTCTTGTGAATATGAACTTGAACTTCTCAATATCTGCAAGGAGAAGAGATGGAAGGAGAGTCCAGGGCTCCAGAAGCCTTGAACTGCAACATTCAGCACAACTTTGGGTACAACCTAAAATCCCAGGGTGCGGGGACCCAGACTTTGGTGGTGGTGACATGGCAGATTATATATATTGGGTCAGGAGACAGAGGAAAGGTGGGTGAAGCCAGGCCTGAGCTCAGGGGTCCATTTCATCGCTTGCTTCAGGACCACTGCATTATAGAGCTCCCTTTGCCCAAGCTCAGGTGGTTCACGAGAAACACATCCATCCTTGAAAAAAAATGAACTATAAGAAGTGAATGAACACAGTAACTGTAAGTTTTCGGGAAAGCATGTAAATGTCCTGTAAGAACTATTGAAACATTGTCTTGCTGCTGAGACAGCAGAAATGGGAGCTGCTGTTTGCTAAGTATTGCAAAAGAGCCACGTTATTTTTTGGTAGACATTTAAAGACTGGCTAGAGGAGGGGTGCCGGCAACATGTGCTCCTCCCTGACAGCTCTCCTGTAAAATGCAGCGTCACACGGTGATGGGATCAGCTCAGAAATACATTGCTCCTCACCACCCTCCTCTCCCCCAGGTAAAGACCCCAACCTCAGAAACCATCTCCCAGCACCCCGTTTCCCAATGCCACGTACAGGACTCGCACAACACTGCTGTTGCAAAATGGCAGGGATGTGCACGGAAAAAAGCTGGGATTACAAACAGCCTTTTTTGGAGTAAACCCTGTCCTGCCCACCAGGTGGGATTTTGCCGGCATCTCTGACAACGGGCTGTGGCAGGGATTGAGCTGGTAAGAAAGTGGAGAAGCAGCTACAGCGGTGTCTTTTTGCAGCCACCCCTTCAAGAGTTAGGTGGACTTTTCTGGAGAAGCGTGTGAGCAGGGTGGTAACCCATCTGGGGACCATGGGTCTGCATCGCCTGCCTCCTGCACTGCCTCTCAGTAACAGCCGCATGGTCTCCGGGAATATCGTCAGTTCTGGGCTTTACCAATGAAACCAGAAACACAAGCACAAACAGCTGTGATATATTGTCAAAGGTCTAAGCCTCATTTTGTGAGGCATAAGGAAGGAATAATCCAATAGCAGTGAATCATCCATCTCATGCCACACGGCATTTGTGTCAACAGCCAAGGGCAGCTGCCGTAGCCTGCCTGTAGCCCCACAGCATTGGATGCAGCACCAAGGTGTTGGAAGGGGACAGTGCTGGCTGAGCATTTGGGCTGTTCCTCTGCTTTTCCCCAGACTGTGCAGGATGGTGCCTTTCCAACCCTCACAGCAAACCTTCAATTGCTTCCAGCCAAAGACTGGCTGAAGCTTTGGTTTCAGCCCCTCCAGTGGGGCATAGGCTGGGTCCCAGGCACCAGCAGCCCTGGCTGGCTGTGGACAGGCCAGCCGCCTCCCCGGCTTCTCACCTTACAGCTGCCTGGCTAGTATTATTCTGGAAATAACTTCCCCATCTGGTACATATGCAGCTTGTTAACCCTGCTCCTAGACATGTGCCTCTAGCAGCACCCTATAAACAGCTTTTACCCCTGATGGACTCCAGCAGGACATATGGATGTATATGGTGACTGACACCAACCATCACAGCATCAAAAATGGCCAGTTCCTCCTTCCCATTAGTTTCAGTGCCAACAACCCACTGGCGGGTGGTTGAGAAGTCCTGGCATTTATTTTTTTTATCCTGATGACTGTAGTCTGAAAGGAAACCATAGCAAATGCATCAATACATGGGTCCCCGCATGCTGTGCAATGCCAATGCGAAACAGACAGAGCTGGGTGCTCGGTTGTGCTTCCCATCCTCACTTGCACTAAAATAGCCTGGCCAGCTGTAAGTAATGGGTCAGCTCGGGCCCTCCTGGCTCGTTCCCCTTAATTGGTGGGGGATTTCTGGGAAACAAGCATTTACTGACCCCCAAAGGGACAGAGAGCCTGGCCCCAGTGGCATAGTGCGTGGGGAACAGGCACCCCCTGGCACCGATGCTGTTGCCTCCCACCATTTCAGCAAGCTCTGGGCCATGGGAGGCAGGCTGAGCTGGCAAACTGGTCCTTGCTAGGTGGAGCGCTTGCTCCAGCAAAGCAAAAATAATTGCTGTGGTGTTTGGTCTGCAGGACACTGTGCAGGTTCACTTGATCTTCACCCAGCAGCTGGCTTCGGTGTTGGCATCCCCAAGGCACCTGGCAGTAGCAGTGTCATGAAATGCTGGCTAAAATTCTGCCTTTTCGGAGCAAACTGGTAATGGATGAAGGTATCATGGGTGGTTACTGGTTTTGCATGTGTAAAATAATTAATTGTTTGAATACCAGAGGAAGGTGGAAGCTGGTGTAAAAGGAAACATGGGACGCATGTCTGTTCTGCAAAGGGCTACCCCACGGTGTCCTCATTTGGAGGGATGCTGTTGGGTTTGGGGTTTTGGGTCCTGGGGTGGGCTTGTACACGAGAACAGCTGCAGAACAAAGGAATTAAAAAATAGCAGCTGGGTATAGCTTCCCCATGATCATCTGGCCAGCAGTAACACCCTGCAATCTGCCCAGGGAAGAGCGGTGGAGCCACTGTGTTCTCACACAGAGCTGTGACCTCATGTCTGATAATGATGAGGTCATTCAACCCATTTTGCAGATGTAAGCCAGCCCTAGAGAGCCCTCGTGACAGCCTGGCCCATGTCCATTTATTGACCACACCTCGGGGAGAGGGGCTGCCCTGCCAGCACCCTACAAACCCTCTTCTTTCATTCCCTGACATCATCTCTGCTTGCCCTGTTGGTACCCTGACACCTCCCCAGTGCATCCCACAGCTCGGAGCACCAGCAGCTACCTCTCCTCTCCATTGCCCTTTCTTTCACATCGCCTGGTACTTTGGCTTCCAAAAGGGGAGGGGTCCCAGCCCCCATTGCATTTGGTGTGGGTCCTGCCAGCACCCTGCAGCTCAGCACAAGGCAAGCAGTGACATCTCCTGCCACCATGGTCTGTGTCCTAGCCGGTTAACAAGGCTGCCATCATCAGCTAGAATAAAAAAAAAAAAAAAAACAAAACAC